GTCTAATCCACAATACAGTGAAGCAATATTAAGCGACAACATACAGTCACATGTAACTACTACATTTTGTACAAATAAAAAGAAAACTATCCTCTAATTTAATTTTAAATTAAATCATTACAACTTTACTTGTAAAAATGCTGATCGATTACAATCGGAACCACCAATAATTGTAAATCCAAAACCACGTGGACTTTTCACTAGAATTGTATTAATTAATGGACCGTGTAATTGTTTTAAATCAGAACAAAATGTTACAGGTGTTACACGTCCATTCCCATCCATATGTGATGATGTGGATGCGGATGCTGATGCTGATGAGGAGGAGATGGAAGAAGCGAATTCACTTTGATCGTCTTCATCATCAACATCTGGATTATTAGGAGTACTTTTATTATCATGATTTCCATGTTTAATGATAGAATGATTATTAGTAGTATTGGTAGTAGTAGTAGTAGTATTTATTGTTGTTGTTGATTTTGGCAGTGATTTACGATGAATTGTATTCAATTGAGTTAAATATTTCATACGAACTTGTTCACCTAATTGAAAATCTTCCACTGTTGGTGGTTCATATTGTGTATGTTTGTTAATATGATCAATGTAAAATGTACCATATTTCATATCTTGTACAATTTCCCAACCGTACGGCAGAACATGTTCACCAATTTGATCTAATTTATCCACAGAATAAGCTGTTTGATCACAGAACTACATTTTTATTAGAAAAATAAAAAAAAATACAAACATTATCATGTGTAAAAGGGGCAATAAAAATATTTATGCGACACATAAACTATTCAAATTATGAGTGGGTTAGAATACTACCGGAGTGCACCAACCGAAGGTGATTTCCTAAGAGATGCCACTTATCGAGCAAATCAATAGATGAAGTAATGAAACTCCATCAGTTGAGATGGTTTGGACATGTGTTATGTATGCCTAACCACCGACTGCCTCGACGAGCTATGTTTTGTGGTGTAGGAGTAGGTTGGAAGAAAGCTAGGGGCGGCCAAACCAAAACATGGCACAAATCCATGAAGTCATTGACGAGTGGACTTAGCCATGTCGGTAATTGTCAACTACCTGGTTGGGGTCCGCGAGATGATAATAATCGATGGTTAGAGACCTTGAATGACATGGCTCAAAATCGTTTGCAATGGCGCAAGTACATCCACTCTTTGTGTTCCCTCTAATTCTAACCTTCTAATTCCTCCTAATCTCTATCTTTCTCCTAAATTTATCTCACTGAATCATACCTTTCGAATCATATCTTCGCTCCTTAATCTTCTCCATTACTGCTAATACTTCTAATATCGCTAGCAATCTTGGATTTGAAGTAACAGTTGCGTTTCTGTGCTAATGTGGTATGGCGACTTGAACTGTTATACTTACGTACGAAGTTCTTCGTTGTATCTGTCTGTAGAGCTCTTAACTCAAAAGTCTAGTGCACAGGGCAGCAAAACGATTTCAAGAGACGCAGCCCAATGATAGCCGGTTACCAACAATAGGTTCATATTCCATTTGTTCAACAAGCATCCAGGAACGCAAGTACCCCAATGATTTGGAATCAGGTATCCATTTGTTATATAAGTATCCTGGTGTCCATCGGTTTAGAATCAGGGTTTTTGAAACCCTCCTAGGTGGATAATCAGTATCACGAGACTGGTTAAAGTGCCAGACATTCACTATTCGATGTTAAACGTCGCTGCCATGAGAAGGCAGTGAGTTGTACATCCCTAACATTGGATATATACCCATGGCCATGTAGGAGAAACTATATTTTCAGTTCAGTCATTTCCGACATCAGTGACACAATTATTTACTCAAACTTGTTGATTTCCGAAAATCTCAACTAATGATCGATTCACTGGAACAGTATAAAATAATTTATTAACCTATGAATACAGCGTACTTAGTTCTTTCTTCCAGAAGGTGTCGAATATCTGGTTGGGGCCCGCAAGATGATAGTAATCGATAGTTGGACTTTAAATAACATGGCTGAAAATCGCTTGCAGTGGCGCATGTACATTCCATCTTTGTATTCTCTCAAATCCTAACCTTTTGAATCCCTCACTACTTTTATCTTTTATTTTTAAGTTTGTTTCAATAGATTCTACTTCTTGAATAATAATCGTCGAACCCTAACCTCGCCAATTACGGCTAATACTTCAACTACCTCTAACACTATGGGATTTAAAGTGACAATTGTGTCTCTGTGCTAATGTGACATAGTAATATGAACTTATGTACGCGCGTACGTATGAAGTTCTACATTGTAACTGACTAATTGACTGACTTTCTTCCAGAAGACTTCATTAATCTCCTTTTTTCCATTGATATTCTCCTCTTCTCATATGCAACCATGTCCACATATATATATATATATATATATATAAGCGTATGTGTGCTTTTTTATTAAGATGTGAAACAAAATAACCTTGAAATATAACAGACACTTCACAATGACAGCTTCTATTTATTTAGACGTTTATTCAATATGTCATTATTATTTGTCATATCACAATGAAACAGTGATGAACTAATGACTATTTACTTATTTCCACCCAACGAAGATATATATATATATATATATATATATATATATATATATATATATATATATTGATATACAATTTGTACACTTAAACATTAATCAATCAATACTTAACCTGTCTAAAGCAGTACCCATATCATCATTCATTTCCTCTTATTCTCTCATCATAGCTTAAACATCTTCCTCATGTTAAGTGTGTGAAAAGAGGGGGATGAGGCAAGTGAGAAAGTTTCAAAGACAAAAATACACAACAAGGAAGGTAGTAGTAGTAGTAGTAAGTAGTAAGTAGTAAGTAGTACTGAGGATAATGGAGACCGAAAGAACAGTAACAACAACAACGAACAAACAAACAAACAACCAGAAAGTGAAACTAACTTAAAAAGGGAGGAGGAGGAGGAGAAGAAGAATAGAGGAAGACTTCATTTGCTAAAAGCGCACGTACAAAATATCATGATGATGAAAATGATGATGAATAAAGTATAAAATATTGATTTAAATTGACTTTATGGGAAAAATGGAAAAAAAAGGTGAGAAGTCGAATTGCCATTGAAAGAAAGTCATTATGGAATACTATGGGTGTATACATGTAATGTCGCTTATATATATATTTTTGGGAAATAACTTGTTTTTACATTGAAATGATGAATCGATCATTGTTAGACCACCATTATAGGGAGTGAAGTAGTCGAACGTGTAGACCGCTTCACTTATCTTGGGCGTCTCATCAGTGCCGATGGCCTGGTCACTGACGAAATCTCAGCTCGGATACAGAAGGCTCGATTATCTTTCGCCAACCTGCGTCACCTATGGCGTAGGAGAGATATCCGTTTGCTGACTAAAGGACGAGTGTACTGTGCAGTAGTTCGCTCCGTCTTACTTTATGGCTGTGAAACATGGCCAGTGAGAATAGAAGATATTCGTAGGTTACTGGTTTTCGACCATAGGTGTCTTCGAAGCATTGCTCGTATATCCTGGGACACCCGAGTGAGCAACGCTGTTATTAGGAATCGGGTGCTAGGTAAGGATGGCAGATCAATAGATGAAGTAATGAAACTTCATCAGTTGAGGTGGTTGGGACATGTGTTGCGTATGCCCAACCACCGACTGCCTCGACGAGCTTTGTTCTGTAGTGTAGGAGTAGGTTGGAAGAAAGTTAGGGGCGGCCAAATCAAAACATGGCACAAATTCATGAAGTCATTGACGAGTGGACTGAGCCATGTCGGTAATTGTCGACTACCTGGTTAGGGTCCACGAGATGATAATAATCGATGGTTAGAGACCTTAAATAACATGGCTCAAAATCGTTTGCAATGGCGCCAGTGCAGTTATTCTTTGTGTTCTCTCAAATCCTAATCTTCTGGATTCTTCAACACCTCTAGTTTTGTCTTTCTAAACTTATCTCACTGAATCATACTTCTTGAATAATTTCTTCTAATCCTAACCTCTCTGATTACTTCTAATACCTGTACTACCTCTTCTACTATTGGATTTGAATTGACAATTACATCTCTGTGCTGATGTGGTATGGCGACATGAACTGATGTACTTACGTACGAAGTTCTACGTTGCATCTGACTGACTGAGACCACCATTATATAAACATGGAAGTATTGAAAGACGGCTGTTTTGTCCTGGTATAGGACTCATCAGTGGTAGTGCACATCCACGATTCCAGAGAGTAGCAGGAATTATGCGCAGCTTCGCTCGTTACCTTAAGTAGTTACTGCCTACACCCGACAACGTTGAACCCCACTGATCACGTATTCTCACTAGATGGATCAGAGTTAGACACTAACACAGCTGAGGGCTAGCTCAGTGGTCCTGAGGTCCAACGTTCGCGCCCGAAACAGAAAATTCTGGGTTCGAATCCCGCGAGTAGCAGGAGTAGTGAAGGTGCACTACTGATGAGTCCCATATCAGGATGAAATGGTCACCTTTGAGTGCTTCCAGGTTTCTAATGGTTGTCTAAGAATGATTCACTCATGATTTCAATGTCAAACAACGATCTCCATATTACTATAATGAAAAAAATACATCTTGTTGCTACTACACAACAGCATAGTTGTAAGTACGAATTAGCCATTGCACCTTAGATTCGGTGCTTTTAGCCTCTCTACTAGTCAGCCAACTTGATTAAAATGGTAGAATCTCAAGAACAAAGTGTACTAGCCACTGTACAATTCGGGGTTAGGTCGTTGTGCTAACCAAACCAAACCACTACATAGAGAGACAGATATTAACTACAGTTGAACCTGGACGCGATTCGCTTAAGGCATTTCGGTCGAAACACTAATCGAAACATATGTAGTGAGAAAGTTTACAGAAACGTTCTACAAACTCAACAAATACATTTATACAACTGTGAATAATTATATTCAAATTATCCAACCACAAAGACCACACCTAATCCTCTCTTAAAATAACTAAGGTGAAAGGTTAAATAGGTCACGACAAATTGTTTCTATCTATACCGACTGGTTTAATCAGTTGAAAAATTTTTTTTACCTAATTCATTGTATTTCAATGAAAAACTTATTCGATAATAGTATCCACTATAGCAAGTTTGATAGAGGAAACGGAAACACCGACAGTGTATTCTTTACTTTAATGGAATACTTCGATTCTTTTAATGATGATGCAATCTTTGTTTGATTGATATTGGAAATTTCGAATCGCATTCTAATTCATTTAGGAACACAATTATTTATTAAACAATTGTATATATGCAAATGTACAGCTACTGTGTAAATGATCTCATCGAAGAGGAGATTGTTTTCGCTGAATTCACTTTAATTTCGTTCAATAATACAATTTATCTTTTAAAGCATAGATGTGACTTGAATATACTGAATATTTAATCCTACCACGTAGAACTTCGTACGTACGTACATCAGTTCAGGTCGCCATACCGAATCAGCACAGAGACACAATTGTCAATTCAAATTACATAGTGGTAGCGATAGTAGAAGTATTAACAGTTATGGAGAAAATTAGGGTTCGAAGATATGATTCGATAAATATAATTCAGTGAGGTAAATTTAGAGAGCGAAAGATAGATATGATGAGGAATTCAGAAGGTTAGGACATGGGAAAACACAAGGAATGAATGCACCGGCGCCATTGCAAACGATTTTGAGCCATGTCGTTCACGCTC